GCACCGGTCCATAGGACGCACCTCGTTTTTTTGGGGGGAATGAATAAAAGTTTCCCCCCCCGCGCGCTGCTCGCCCCAAGCCTCGCGTGCTCGGGCTGCAGGCTACCGCCCAAGCCTCGCGCGCTCGGCGGGACCTCCCTGCCCGGGCGCGCAGGGCTTGCAGGCCGCTCGCCAGGCGCAGGGAGGCCCCTCGGAGGGCTCCCGTGCTTGGCGCAGGCTACCGCCCCAAGCCTCGCGCGCTCGGCGGGACCTCCTGCCGGGCGCGCCAGGCGTGCGGGCACGCGCCCGAAGCACGGGAGCCCTCCGGAGGGCTCCCCGTGCCCAAGCTGGCTCGCCGCCCAAGCCTCGCGCGCGCTCGGCGGGACCTCCTGCCGGGCGCGCAAGGCTCGCAGACACTCGCCCGAAGCGAGGGGCCCTCCGGAGGGCTCCCGTGCTTGGCGGCCGGCTGCTGCCGCCAAGCCTCGCGCGCTCGGCGGGTCCTCCCGCCGGGCGCGCAGGGCCTGCGACACTCGCCCGAGCACGGGAGCCCTCCGGAGGGCTCCCCGTGCTCGGCGCGGCAAGCTCACAGCCCCAGAGCCTCGCGCGCTCGGCGGGACCTCCTGCCGGGCGCGCAAGAGCTGCAGACACTCGCCCGAGCCGCGGGGGCCCTCCGGAGGGCTCCCGTGCCCGGCGTCAGCTGCCGCCCAAGCCTCGCGCGCTCGGCGGGACCTCCTGCCGGGCGCGCAAGGCTTGCAGACACTCGCCCGAGGCACGGGAGCCCTCGGGGGCTCCCGTGCTTCAGCGGCTAAGCTGCGCCCCAAGCCTTGCGCGCTCGGCGGGACCTCCTGCCCGGGCGCGCAGAGCTGCGGACACTCGCCCGAAGCACGGGAGCCCTCGGAGGGCTCCCGTGCTTGGCGTGAGCTCCAGCCCCAAGCCTCGCGCGCTCGGCGGGACCTCCTGCCGGGCGCGCAAGCGCTGCAGACACTCGCCCGAGCACGGGGGCCCTCCGGAGGGCTCCCCGTGCTGCAGGCGACTAAGCAGCAGCCCCAAGCCTTGCGCGCTCGGCGGGACCTCACTGCCGGGCGCGCAAGGCTTGCAGACACTCGCCCGAGCACGGGAGCCCTCCCGGAGGGCTCCCGTGCTCGGCGAGCTCAGCCCCAAGCCTCGCGCGCTGGCGGGACCTCCTGCCGGGCGCGCAAGGCTTGCAGACACTCGCCCGAAGCACGGGGAGCCCTCGGAGGGCTCCCCGTGCTTGCGGCACAGGCTGCAGCCCCAAGCCTCGCGCGCTCGGCGGGACCTCCTGCCGGGCGCGCAAGGCTTGCAGACACTCGCCCGAAGCACGGGAGCCCTCCGGAGGGCTCCCGTGCTCGGGCGACTGGCTTCCGCCCCAAGCCTCGCGCGCTCGGCGGGTCGTCCTGGCGGGCGCGCAAGGCTGCAGACACTCGCCCGAAGCACGGGAGCCCTCCGGAGGGCTCCCGTGCTTGAGCGACAGGCTGCCGCCCCAAGCCTTGCGCGCTCGGCGGGACCTCCTGCCGGGCGCGCAAGGCTTGCAGACACTCGCCCGAAGCACGGGAGCCCTCCGGAGGGCTCCCCGTGCTTGAGCGCAGGCTGCTGCCCCAAGCCTCGCGCGCTCGGCGGGACCTCCTGCCGGGCGCGCAAGGCTTGCGGACACTCGCCGGGGCTGCAGGCTGCTGCCTGCAAGCCTTGTGAGCCGCGGGAACTCCCACCGGGCTTGCAAGGCTTGCGGATAGCTTCCTGAAGCCTGGAGAGCGAGAGGGGTCGGTGCGCACCGTGCCTCTCGCTCTCCAGGCTTCAGCCAGCTCTACGTCGCTCCATAGGGCCTTTCACATTTCCCCTTCTAGGTGCTAACAACTTCCTTAGTTTGTGTGTTGAAAAATAAATTTCATACAAGAGGTACAATTGCAAACCTGCAAAGGAGTTCATGTAAACCAGTGTGGTCCCATTCTCTTCAGCATACTAAGGACTCTCTGTGCATTGTGGAGAATTCCCACTGCCAATTGTCCGCAACTTTTGACTAGCTTTGGTGAGGCAGCCCAAATTGGGGTTACCATCAGCCCTGCTTTCTCCAAATGCTAACTTGAAAAGATTGTGATTATTTATTATTATTATGGTTCAATAAAAAAGAATGACTTCATATTTAGTATAGTTCATTATAAGCACATCGTTTACTTGAGGACTCTGGTGAATTCCTGTTTTAATTAACTATAGATCTCTGTAGCATGCTACGTATTATATGTTAACACAATGTTTGTTGTAACACACAGAGACAAGATGGAAGGAAACAAAATGAAGGTACGCACAAAAGCATTGAAGCAGTTGTTGCGCGCCTTGAAAAACAAAATGGAATGAGTCTCAGTAGCAATTCCAGTCCTGAAGCAACATTTATGGAAACTTCAGAAAGGATGAACAATATGGACGATGCTGTAGTTCCTCGAGTTCTTTATGAAGAATTGCTGCGAAGCTATCAGCAGCAGCAGGAAGAAATGAGACACATTCAACAAGAACTTGAGCGAACAAGAAGGCAGCTTGTTCAGCAAGCAAAAAAGCTAAAGGAGTATGGGACATTAGTGTCAGAAATGAAGGAGCTCAGAGACTTGAACAGACGGCTACAGGATGTACTGCTTCTCAGACTAGGCAGTGGTAAGTACTTGGATATACGTGGGACAAGTTCTTAAATAATTTAATTTTAAATTAGAATGGCTGAAATAATCACAATATAATCTGCTTCACTGCATATACCAGTCTTCCATTTCATACATTGAAAATTCTGTATTCATGTTCCTTTTTCATTCTTTTTATTAATAGAAATTTTCATCCTGGTAATATTGGCATGCTTTTCCAGGGCTGCACACAGCCATGCTGTGCTGCAGCTGTGGAAACATACTCTTTTTGAAAACCACTTTGAGGTTTTATTATAATCAGGCAGTATATAAATGTTTTGAAATAAATAAATACATCTAGGTATCTCTTCCCACCCAAACCAGAAAAAAGCATGCAGAAATATAAGAATCTTTCATAGCACACTGGTCCTGTTATGTCTGCGACATCATTTATTGCAGCTTAAGTATTGTTGCCAAAGTTCTTGGTAGAATGAGAAAAGGAATCCAATAAATATCTTGAATAAATATAAGCGTTCCATCTTACAGCATGATCCTTTGCATGTGTACTGTACTTGGAATCTCACTATTTAGCAGGACTTGCTTTCAGATAAGTGTTCATAGGATTGGAGAACCATAAGCCAAACTTTCAAAGTGCTCTCCTTGAGCAAACAACATTTGCTCCAATTTATTTTTCAGTTCCATGTCTGTAAATTCCATTGATTTTTAAAATTCAATTTAGATTTTCTCAAAATGTATACTATCTAAAACTTTGTTTGGTTTACACAGAACCAAAGACACTTTTGCCACATTTGGACAATCAGGTACTGGCTTGACAAACAAGGCTTGTGGCACTATTATGAGTGTGTTTCCAATGTTTCAAAGTCTCCAGATAGGGGTACAGTCATACCTTGTTTCTCGAACGTAATCCATTCCTGAAGTCCGTTTGACTTCTGAAAACCTTTGAAAACCAAGGCGTGGCTTCCAATTGGGTGCAGGAGCTTCCCACACTCAGTCGGAAGCTGCGTCGGATGTTCGGCTGTTTGCAAACTGGAACACGCACTTCCGGGTTTGCAGCCAAAATGGACGAGTACCAAGGTGTTTGAGAACCAAGGTTCGACTGTATAAGGAAAGGTGCTCCTTTAGGTAACCTCATCTCAATGTGTCCAGGGCTTTATATGCCAATAGCAAGACCTAAAACCTGGCTCAATAGCAAAATGGCAGCCAGTGAAACTCTTTCAGCCCAGGTGTTATGCACAGTTGATAGGTGCCCTTTTCCACAGTCTTGCTGTGGCATTATGCACTAGCAACAGCTGCCAGTTCAACCTTAAGGGAAGCTCCACAAAGAGTTCATTGCGGTAATCTAATCTGGAGACTTTCCGGGCTTTGACCACTTTACCTAGGCTATTCCAATAAAGGGATGGTCATATCTGTTGCAGCAGCCAAACTAGCAGAAGGTGCTCCTTATCCACTGGTTCTCCAGTGACATAGATGGATCTCAGGAGCACCACCAAACTACTTACTTGCTCCTTCAGAGAGTTAAACCCTATTTAGAACAGTCAGTTGATCTGTTCCTAGGCCTGGGAAGTGCTCCTAAACAGAACCTTAATCCTAACCAGAATTCAAGGTCAGTTTATTGACCCTCATCCAGCCCATCATGGTACCTAAGCACTTATCCAATTCCTGCATAGTCACTTGATTCAGAAAGAGTTGAGTTATGTTTTGTCACTCACGGGATGTGACAGAAAATATATAATAAAAGCAAAACAAGCCAATAACACCCCCCATCATATTTTAAAAGGGCATCAGATGTCCTGGTTAAAGGGGAATGTTTTCATCTGGTGCCTTAAAGGGGTATAATGAAAGTGCCAGCTGAACCTCCCTGGGGAGAGCATTTCGCAAATGGGGAGCCACTGCAGAAAAGGCCCATTCTCGTGTTGCCACCCTCCAGGCCTGCCATGGAGGTGACACAAAGAAGAGCGTCAGAGGATGATCTCAGGGTCTGGGTAGGTTCATATGGAGAGAAGCAGTCCAATAAACTGTTTAATCTATAGGCTTTCTGCTAGACCACTGCTAAGCCACTGCCACAACATATTGGATCTGTGCATACATATGCCATGCTCATCTTTCAGTCGTGTTACTCTACAAATACCTCTTATTGTCAGTGTTCAGTCCTTCTCTGTGCAACTTTTT